GTGGAAAACGCGCGCGCCAACGCGCGCGCAATTTTTGACAAATTACTGGATTCTTCGTTCCGGTTTGCGAACGGATCGGAGTGAAAACTGGACCCGTTGCGCGTTTAAAGAGCTCGTCCACCAAAGGGAGGATCAGTTTAGAGATCGCGGCCGGTTAAACCGGTCGTCTCTTTTCTCGCAAATCCTGACCGTCACTACGAAAAAAAATCAGTCACGAAACTTTTCCGATGTATACACACATGTATGGCACGTACGTACATGTCACAGCAAATGTATACGTTTATTAGTCGGCGCATCTATTAATTTGATAAGAAAATTTGATAAGCAACTATTCACGAGTAATTAATTTTAAACTTTTACTAGTAGATGCGTATATTTTCATTGAATTAGTCGAAGTACGCACAAACAAAAAACTGCAAGGGTACACGGACAAAAAAATAATGTTGAATCAACAGTATCAGTTTAACTGAAATATATCCTGTTGATGCAACATCAATATTATTGCACTACACACAGCAGATAGTTGCTTTAAGAATCTAGACATTAAATTAATAATCGCATATGCAATTAAATAAACTATTTATTTTGCTGTGGCAGAGCCCGTGACATCAACTTTTTAATTGAAGCAACTCTATTTTGTTTTCTGTGTACATCTCAGCGTATTTTCCGAGCTTATCGAATAAACGCAAAGATGTTGTTTGTATTTTTATTTTTTTAAATACACAAACACACAAAATTAGACTCGTTATATTGTGCTTTTACTTAATGTGTTGTAACATTGTCTGTAAACGTTGTCCGCCAAATATGAAGCGCATTTACTAGGATTAGTAATATTTTTCTATTTAAATCTTCGTCCGCAGACTGGGTCTTGCAGACCCACTCAAAAATTGCGCATCGACGTTTCTAGAAAACATAAGTTTTTTTTAAACGCTTATATCTTCGAAACTACTGGAGATTTTTTCAATCTGATTTTTTTTATCGACGCAGAATCGTTCAAGCTTTCGATTCGAAAAACAGAAATTGAACAAATATTGATTGTTCGATCTTACAGTTGCGTGGGTCTCACAGACCCAGTCTATACTTCTCGTGGATTTTTTTTTTATGTTTACAGTCGAAGAATTAAGATAGTTTTGCTAAAATGTTACGTAAATGCGTATATCGACTAGTATATTATTTTTTTTACGCGTTTACTATAATATATGTACATATATATATGCCGCTTCTAACGATACAAAAATCATTACTTTTGTATTTTCTAAAACAAGTGTTATAAGCGTTATTAAAAAAAAAATCCTATCGCGGCATCTCGAAAAATTCAAGCGTATCGATATCTCGCGCTCTTATAATATCGAGCAAACAAGTCGTAGACGAATAAACGATACACCTTTATGATTAATGATATTGATAAAGCACACACCGCGATCGAATCGAGAATGTCTTCGGATTATCGATTGCACTGTCGCGAGATCACCGCGTCGACTATCAATTTAAACGGCGAAATTGCGCTCGATAAAACGCATATCCCTCTTGAATCGGCAACGGTGTTTTCGATTGTTCCAAACGCGGCGGCGGCGGCTGCGGCGGCGGCGGCGGCGCGATGTGCGCCCACAGGAATTCGACGATGCGGAGGGCGAGAATGGGCTCGATCCCTCCGAGCCCGTCGTTCGCGCACGCTTTGGAATCCCGCGTCATATAACGAACGACCGGCACGGCATCAAAAGTTTTTGAGGAAACAAAAAACCCGCGAAAAATTCCACATCCACCGGATTCTCCGGTTTCGCATTTTCGCGAAACAAGTCCACAAGATCATTTCCCGTTATTTTTCCGTTTATACTTTTTGGGGACAACAAATTTGTCGAACGAAATCCAGTTTCGCGAGGAATATCTCGGTATCTACTCGCGACGACGGCGTGACGATACGGTCGTCTTCGTCGTTCATTTCGCTGGTATTTCGAGGAGAACGAACGAGCAACGACAGCCAGGAGGAGAGGAATCCGATAATCTCTTTAGCAAAGTGTCACGTAGATGCTGCAGTTACGCGGCAAGTTTTTTCGTTTATCACGTACGCGTTCAGCGTTCTTCCTCTCTTTCCAGCCCGACCGTGGGAGCAAACAGGATTTTACCAGACGGACGGTACACGGGTAACCGAATACACTTCGATACCGAAGTGCAGCCCGCCCGAAGAAGACGCATTTCGGACCCGAAAGACGCATTCTTCCAATCGATTTGCCGGGGAGGATTTATTCCGCCTCCCCCTCCCCCCCCTCCAGGGGAGGCCCACCGTCAGCGCGCGCCTCTTGTTACAACAAACTTCGCGAACTAAACTGAGCGTTAACTAATCGCGTGCTGTTCAAGTAGCGAATTTGAACCTTTCGAGTGCGAGATGTCCGCGCTTCGGTATCTCCCGCGTGTCTCACAATTCGCGATCGTTCTACATTATTTTGCACCCCCGTATTGAATAACCACGATATTGTTTTTTTTTTTTTATTTTTGAAAAAAACAACAACTCTCAAGAAAAAATGTTTCTTCGAAGCTTCTTTTATTTAAATTTCTCTGGTGGGGTTTATTTTTTTCTTTCGAGTTATCTAGAACTTATACATGTTATATAGACACCAACCGTGTCCGCCACAAAGAGGACAAGCGAATGATGATTCTCACGGTCGGCGTATGTCATAGTGGCCTGCTTTCTTCTCCGTCGTCCGTCGTCGGTTACGCGCTTGTTGACGAATAGGCCTCTATCGGGGGGGTCTTCGTATACACGTACGCTTCGTACTCTCGCAAAAACCTACTAGATATGCCCATACTATACCCTATATACGTGCGCGACGAGTGATTGTCACCTCTGACGCGTAGAAATGTCGTGGAAAATGTCTTATCACGCGCGGCGTGTTTTCTTTATCGCGCGCGCGCGCGCGCGGCAAAAGGTGCGCGTATCTCGCGTTACGACCGTAGAGAACCTGGTGTTTGTATCATAGCGATAACCAATAATCATAAGTCAGAGAGCGATAGTGGATGACGGCGCGGAAAAGGAAAAAAAAAAAAGGGAAAATGGGTCGCGCGCGAACGCGATATATAAAATTACGACACGCTCGTCATATTGGAAACAACCGCGTCGATTTAAAAGCGTATAAGCTTGTTTATTTATTTATTTATTTTTTGTTTTGTTTTGTTTCGTTTGTTGCGAGATTTCACGTGACGAGTTGTTTCTTGCTCACTCGCCCCCGGAGAGAGATATCGATCGGATTTACAATGCCGCTGAAAATTACTAATGACTGCGATAAGTGAACCGAAAGCCACTTGCTCCCCACAGCGGAAAAAACATTCTTGCACGGTACGCGACTCCTTTTGATTCAGGTACACCATGAAGCGTATAGAGAAACACGGCGCGGCTTCGTATATTCCTTGAAAACCTTGAATATATTTACTCATGGACCAGGTCACACACACACACACACACACACGCTCTTTTTCTCTCTCTTTTTCTTTTTCTCTCTCTCTCTCTCTCTCTCTCATTCTCATTCTCTTTTTCTTTCTTTTTCTCTGTGTGAATACTACCGCCATTCAACTAGAAAACCTGTGGGAATCTCGTCAGGTAGGCATAAGAGAAGAAGCTGACTGGAGCGTGACGTTTCTTTCTACGAGTTTTCTTCGGGAAATACGTGCCGCGCGATTTTCGAGAGAGGTGTTTTTTTGACAATAGTCCCGAGATGCTCGAAAAGCCTCAAGGGAGAGGATGAACATGTACAAGTGACTCGAATTCTTCGCAGGTTGCACGCAACTCTCTCTCTCTCTCTCTCTCTCTCGCAGCGATAAATAAATGCGACAACAACAAGCGACGACGATGAGACAGCTGATCGAGCAAAATCTCAGGTTCGGACCAGGTTCCGCGTCGGCGATAATGAAATCACTCGCCAATTAGCTTCTCCGAAGTGAAAAAAACAATTGTATGTCGGTCTTCGCGTGTCCGCGAAATACGCGGATTTCGTCGCATTCACATGCGAGACGGAACCAAAACGAGGCCAAAAGGAAAGAAGCGGTCACCGCAGCGATCTCCGATATCACACAGAAGACCGCCTTCGGTATTCCTCTCGAAAAAGAGGAGAGAACCTCGGGTTTGGCCAGCTCGTGTTTCGGTTTTCGGCTTTCCGAGAAATATTTTTGTGTATTCTCGCGTGCGCGCGTGTGTGAGATCTCGTCTCCTCGCTCTTTTCCCGCGCGTTTCTTTTCGTCTAAATTCGGGGTTCGGCGGTCTGCGTTTTCGGGGCGGAAGAGGATAGAACGCCGATACGCGAACGTCGCGTTCTCGTGTGTGGGAGAGAAATGTATCCCATGACCTAGGATTCTCAACACGGGGGTTCTCGACTCAAGGAAGAAATATATACGCCTGTATCCCCTTTTGCGCGGGCTTACTTTGTACGTATACTTTCGAGCGGTGTTCTCTTCGAGAATCTCGGATTTTTATCGCCGTAATACAATCATCACGCGTGAGTTTCAACAACAAAACAGAAAATAATGTTGTTTTTTTTTTTTTTCAATGAACGTAATTGAAACTCGATATGTTATTCCTCACAACAGAACAAAAAAACTTTATTAGACATCAACAGTTTCATACGATATCTAATAGATGTCTAACGTACGATATCTTTTGTTCCTATGTGGATCGTTGTCTTATGCGAGTATTTTGTGATTTTCATTACGTACTCGGTAATTCCGCTCGCCTCGAAGATGACCCGAATACAGTTCAGGAAACGGAAGACAAGTCACTCGGTTCAGTATTGGTTCTTCGAAGTCTTCGAAGAACCGCGAACGATCGATCAATTCGAACACGGTTCCGCAAGTCACCGCGACCGTCCGCCATTACTGCGGCCCCTCGTAAATGTATCGAAGTGCGATATTTGCGATTCTTTGAATCGAGATTGTTCGAGGTGGCGCGCGAAATCTCGCGAACGCCATCTGTCGCGAGGAAAGCGAAGCTCGAGTCATAGTTGCCAACTTGACGTGTTATATTGACACATAACCTGAGTTCTCTGTGACGTGTGTTAGAAGAGAAGCGTCAATTTTCATCGCGAAAACAAACTCCTCCGAGTTTCTCTTAAAATTGCGCGAGAGTTGCACATTTTTGTGACATAAAAAAGTCGAAAGATGTCGGAACGCAAGGTTTTAAATGTAAGTAATCACATGAAATTTGACATGTACACAACAATTACATAGTTTTACGCTTGTGTATGTATTTATTTTTTAATTTAATTTTAACTTATATTAAAATTAATATATATATATATTGTCTTGCGTTCTAGAAATATTATCCACCGGATTTCGATCCGTCGAAAATTCCACGCATGAAACTGGCCAGAAATCGCCAATACACTGTGCGATTGATGGCCCCGTTTAACATGCGATGCAAAACATGCGGTGAATATATTTACAAGGGCAAGAAGTTTAATGCGCGTAAGGAGGACGTCGAGGGTGACGATTATCTGGGAATACGCATTTACAGGTTCTACATCAAATGCACACGTTGTCTGCAAGAGATATCCTTCAAAACCGATCCGAAGAACACGGATTACGAGATCGAAGCGGGTGCGACGAGAAATTTCATGGCTCTGAAGTTGGCCGAGGAGCAAGCGCAGAAGGAAGAGGACGAGGAAAAGGAGGAGGAAGCCACCAATCCGATGAAGCTTCTGGAGAAGAGAACGCTCCAGTCGAAGCAGGAACTGGAACTGCTGGAGTCTCTGGAGGAATTGAAGGATTTAAATCGCAGACAACAGACCATCGATTACGATCAAATGCTGGAACAATTCGACACGGAGACCGTCAAGCTGAAGAGAACAGAAAAAGAGCAAGAAGAATTGGATGAACAATATATCAAATCCATATTTGGATTTAAAAGAGAAAACTCGAGTAAAACTGTTGTAGAGGAGGAAATCGAAGAGGTGGAAGAGGAACAAGAGATTGTTGAACCCGACAAGAAGAAGTCTAAAACAGATGACAAAGAAACAGTGAGTTTGATCTCGCTTACTTTGTCTTAACTTCGTTTTTTGACTCTTTCAGAAACAAATCAATTACCCATAAATTAACATTAAAATTAAATTAAATTTTAATAATAATACAATCGCGATTGTTCGCAGGAAAATCCAGAATCTTCGAAACTTGCAAGAGTGTCATTGTGGTCGGAAAGTACGGGATTGTCGTCCAACAAAAAGAGTTTATCCACTTTGGCGAGAAAAGGCAATATCGGTATAAAAATAAAACCGTTACAGGACAAAGCGTCCGAGAGTGCGGTTTCTTCCGTTAAAGAAATGAATGTTACGAGCGCGGACGCTAAGCAAAATAACGCGAGCAACGGTCTCTCGCTACTGGGCGCTTATTCCGGCAGCAGCGACAACGACAGCGATTAATGAAAAAGTAATATACATATTTATCTCAAATGTACATATAGTATTTTTTATTCAAATAAGATAATTATTATTGTTATATATAAAAATAAAAAGAACTACACAAATGACACAAGTATATATATATATATGTAAAACGGACAATCTCAGAATTGATGTGTGTGTGTGTGTGTGTGTGTGATCACGTGCAAATTTCAAATCTGTTTAATCCAAAAGCGCAGAGGCGGATAGACATAGAGGAGACGATATACAGATTTCTCTCGGACGATTACAGAGTTTTTTTTTTTAAGATGTCGAAGGCTCTACTCCTAAAACAAATAAAGGGACAATTAATCAGAAACGGGAGAAGACCGAAGGTAACGATCCGTTTGTAACGTCAGATATTTCACGCGATTGATAATGTCGCGCTCGAATTGCTCGTTAACTTCCCGCTGACATTGCTTGCAAATAAAAGTCTCTTCCATGTCGGTGGAAGTTCGATACCTCGTGACGTGAGATCTTTCAGACGGACGATTTCTCGTGTGACGTTTCGCGGGTGAGATAACGCGATGACCGCGATAACGCGACGATCTTAACGAGCTTTTGCGCGAACGCGAATCGCCGAAGTGAAACGACGAGGACGCGACCGTGTCCGAGCTTCGTCTCGATTCGCAAGAAATAGCACGTAGTTTGTCGTCGATGCTCGACCGTCGGGATCTACTCAAGTACTTTCTCATGACGTACCCGTTGCTACTGTTTCCGTTCTTCTCCCGCAGGCTAACTTCCAGCTGAGCGATGCGATGCTCGAGTCGCGTACGTTGCGCCTGTGCCCGGTCCTGCTGATCCTCCAACAGCTTCACCAATTTCTCCAGTCGCATCACCTGCATCTGTTTGCTCTCGAGCGTGGCGTACAGTTCCTGGATAGCTTCCGTCTTCGCCGCGATCTGCTTATTGATCTAGACGCGCGCACAGTTAAGTAAGCGGAAGAATACAATTGACAAAAAAACAAAAAAACAGAATTGACGTTGATGCGTATCGTGAAAGATTTGTTTTTAAGGCAACGCCACGTTACTTCGTTGATATCTTCGTAATTTTCATTGGCGGAGTTCGCGTCCGCGCTCGCCTGCTGCTTCCCCTTGAGCAAATTCAGCAACTCGTCTCGGGCTTTCAGAAATTTGCTCTGCTCCCGCATCACTCGATCGCGTTGCTCCAGTTCAAGTTGCTTCTGCGTCAGCGTGATCTCCAACTCCTGATTCTGCTGCATTACCTCGGCCAAGTTGTTACGCAGATCGCAGATCTGCTGCTGCAACTCGATCGCATCGATCTCGGACTTGCTTCCGTTCTCCTTCGACCTCGCGTGAAAGCGACGCTGAATCTCGGACAATTGATTTTCCAGCATCTCGTTTCTCTCTTGTCTACGCGTTTCGCGTGTGAAAAGCAGTAATTTTTTTCAAACGATACTTTCACACATAAGTTAAGTAGGAAATATTGAAGCAAATATATATATATATATATATTGCGCGTTTCCGTTCGTGAACTCACGTGAACTTGGCGATCTTTTGAAGACGAGCGTGCTCCAGCATCAGATTTTGGAGATCGTTGGTCTTGGCCACGAGTTCGGCAGCCAATTTATTCTTGGTCTCGTCCTCGTTGTCGTAATTCTGCGGAATCGAACAAGAGTATTGAATGAAAAATGAATTTGGCGAAGAAAACAATCGGAAGATAATCGCGAACAGAAGTTCGCGAGCTTCGAACGATGCTTCGGGGAGGTTTTCTCATTTGAATCCCCGAAAGAAAGTAATAATGTGAACTAACGGCCACTTGATGCATCACAGCGACGATCTCCTGCTTCTCGTGTTCCAGTTGCTTGATCTTCTCCTTGTGCTTCTCGAGCTCGGCCCGGGTCGCCTCGAGATCCTTGTAAAGACCAAGCTCGTTCTCCGTGTGAGCGTTATCTGAAAATCGGTGATCTCGATGAGTAAACTACTTGTTTGATAATGACGTCGAGATAAACAAAAAAAAAAAAAAAAGCTTACCTACCTGCCACAGCGAGGTTGTTACTTTTTTCGCTCGCAAGGTCGCAGAGCAGCTGACTCTTCTCCTCGAGGTGCTTGCAGCGCTCTTCCATCTCGGTCAGATTATCTTCCGCTTGCTGTCTACAATGGATTTTAGCTGGTGTGAAAAAATTCATTGAAATCTTTTAAGGCCTACTTGAATTTTTTTAAGAGAATCTCTCTGATACGCGAATTATTAAACGAGTTTTTATAGAAAAAGCGAAAAAAAGGGGGTTCCGAGTAAAATTTTTAACTACTTTAATATTATAATAATATTATAATGTAAAATATATATATATATATATATATATATATATA